CTTGCAACAATGGCGGCGATATGCGGCGATGAGCACTCTGCATTACAGATATGGCCCAAGGCAACTGTACAGCAGCAGAAATTACGTCTTTCATGGTCCATGGTGGCTTTCCTGGTGCTTTCAGGGCAATTGCCATCTACGCCGTGATGCGTCTGCACAGAGGCCTTGACCGAGGCATTCTGCACAAGACGTCTAGACGCGTCCGTCCATTGCTTTAGTTATATTTTATGTACAGTCTCGTAGCCCCTAGCTTCATGCCAGGAGCATGAGTCCAGCATGAGCTGATGTTTGAAGCTCGAAGAGATCCCATTTTGGTAAGATCAGTTGTGCCATTTGCCGTGTAAAACGAGCAGCAGCTCATCTTTAGCAGTGGGTCGTAGCACTGGCAGACACCAGTTGCGGATGTTGCGGCCGGCTCTTACAAGCACCAGCAGGTTTTCAATTTTGGATCCGCCCTTGTAGTTGTAGCCCAGCCACCACGGCAGCGTTACAGCCACAAGGGAAGGGGTCTTCCAAAGAGGCAGACCCCCGCGGAACGTGCGTGTAGGGCGATGTAACTGGCCTCATCCGCAAGCGTGTTCACCTGCACTGAACTTACAGAACATGTTTCTCATTGTTTCTCATTGCTTGCAACAATGGCGGCGATATGCGGGATGAGCACTCTGCATTACAGATATGGCCCAAGGCAACTGTACAGCAGCAGAGACGAATACAAAGCCGACGCGGCAGAGTGGCAGACCATGCAGAACGCCATAAAACCGAATAAAACCCCACACGCTGCAGCTTCCTGGATCCATGGACTCGCGCGTTCTCGCGCGCCTTCTGCGACCCTCAGATCCAGGGGATGCCCTTCCCTTGAATGTTCGAAGGTTTTCCTCAAAGCTCGCGATGCCAACCTCCGATGCAAACGCAGATCCACACATCGGATTGAGCATCGGTTAGTTCGTGTTAGTTCCCAACAAGCTTCGTTTTGTCTATCTATATGTGAGACAAATATTCTTCTATTGCTATCTAACGTTCATTAATTTTCATGATGTCTGATGTTATCGAATGGTATCAATGTGCTCTACTGCGACCAACTGGCATCGGATACAATCTAATGCTGTTATGTGCAGGTCAGCTCTCTTTGCTTTATGGTATGGAGCACCATCGCCGGCATTTGGCTTAAGGAGCTCACTTGCAGCCACCTTTCCTCTCAGAACCCGCACTTGGAACCTTACAAGTCCAGCCCTTCGAAAATCCAGCCTGCATGTACACGAAATCCCAGCAACCCAAAACTCTCTGCGCCCAGCTCTCTCCCTCCCGGCCCTTTCCGGTGGCCTTGGTGCTCGGGGGCGCTCGCGGCGCTGCACAGCCGGGACTCCCAGGCGTGTGACAAGGCTATTGGATATACAATAAACGCCCCCCGCTTTTGCCCGTGATCGGGCATTCATATGCTAGAAGATCAAGGTCATCATCCGTGCCTATGGTGCCACTGCACTGCGCAACAGTTACGAAACGATCAGTATTCTGGTCGGTCGGTCGGTCGGTCACCATGCGCGAGCGTGTGATCGTGCGGATCGTAGGGACCCCCATTGTTGGGAAAATTCCCACTAGTGGATCAAAGTGGTTCCACCGGCATCCGCCATCAGCCAACCCAACTTCGTTCTCACCCAGCATCTTCAGCGCTCTGTAGTGTACCCCATGTACCCCACAGCTTAGTCGCACTGCAAAGCCGAGAGTCAAAACACATACCCAGACCACGCTCCAGACAAGACACACCAAGGACATGCAAACGAAGCGTGGCACCAGCCGTCGTTCCCTGGTGGAGTGCCTGTGAGCCATGGTCGCGCTGCCCGAAACTGAGAGGTCATTCTTTTCAAGGGCAGTTTGGAAGGCGCGTGGAGAAACAGCGAAGCCGCTACAGGCAAGATGACGGGATGGAAAAGAGCCCGGAAGGCTGGATATGACATCCCGAGCCATGGCTTTACTTGGGTGATCTCCTTGCAGGTGGTGCCAGCATCAGCCACGAGGCGCACGATCCCGGACACGGAATGTGAACGGTAGAGGGCCAGTAGAGGAAACCCACAGGGGCGAACTCCTTACAGGTTACGTAAGCTTTTGCGTTGACTCCACGCGATCACGCCTGGGGTGGCAGGTGGCCTTGAGCAGCGTTGACTCCACGCTGGACGTGTTCTATTCCAGCTCTGGGTCGAACCCAAGCTCGCTTGGGTGCTGCCCGTTCTGAAATGCTAGCAAGGGGTCGACCTTGTGAAATGTGCTGCGTCGGGCGTCGGGCAGTGTCAGGGTGAGCGCGCCAGCAGAAGACCTTCCGCCTCAAGCGATGTTTGACAGAGACGCTTCCATAGCCTTGCACACAAGCAACGCTGCAGGCGAGCTCACTCAGCTGTATTCAGCACCTGCTTCAAATAAACAACAAGTACCGCGTAACAGTTTAAAAGTACCCCAGGCCCAAAGCAGCCTGGAGCTCAGAAGACATGAAGAAGGCCGGAAAAGGCAGGTCAAGGAAAGTTCTGAAAGCCACAGCAATGAACTGGAGCTGCTGGCCCGGACCGCTCAATAAGCGAATTTGGAGCCTCAGACCCGAACCTGTAGCTGCAGCAGCCCCCAACTTACAACCTCAGCTCAAAAGTCAAACCCCAAGCTCCCAAACCTCATGCCGCCGCCGGCCTGGATTCGGCTGCATCGGGCCGCTGCCGTGCCCCCTGCACCTTGGCCACTGCTTTGCCAACGACGCTGGGACACATCGTCGGGGCCTCGTTTCATCATTTCATAGTATATAGCAGGATAGAATGTAGCATAATACTCAGCATAGCAGCATAGGAAAACATGCGTACACAAAGTTCACGTTCAAGGCACGTAGTCCAGCTAGGACCCTGTCCATACATGAAACTCATTCAAGTGTTGGTGTTATCGACAAGAAGCCTGCAAAAACACAGATCGAATGGCCTGCAAATCCTGCGTGTGAAAAGGCCACGGCCAGGCCCTATGCTGCGCGTGAAACTGTCAACGGATTGTACACTGTCAGACATCGATGAGCTTGAATGCAATAGGCGTTTTTTTTTAATGCTGGCCGGCTTTCCAGACCAAACACCCTGTGGCCGAAACAAAGCCCCAACACCAGTCAAGATCAGGTTGGAGATGACTGTATCCTCAAAAAGGTCCCGGCATAATTCAATCCCCTTCGAGATGATGGTGCCCATCTTCTGCATCGTCTTGAACAGTTGTCATTTGGATCTCGACGTGCCCTCGCTTCACAGCCTCAGCTGGACTCCTGCGATGGCACCGTTTCTACCAGTCTGACGCATTTAGCGAATGTGAGGGACTATACAACACGGCGTACGCGATGCAGTACATGGCACACACGGAACATGCATATATAAATATACATCACGCAAGGTATACAAATTTCAAGCAGACGCGATTCGTAGGTTAGCTGTGGCCCGAATGGGCAGTGGAGAGGTGTCCATCAGGAATTCAGCATCGATGGCAGCGCTTCAGGAACTACCAGTTAACATCACAGGTCAACATCATCACCATCATCATCATCATCATCGTCATCGTCATTGTCGTCGTCATCAACATCAACAACATTAGCATAATCATCGCCAATATCACCATCATCATCATCATCATGATCATGGCCATGATCAACATGATCATCATCATCATCATGATCATGGCCATGATCAACATGATCATCATCATCATCATCATCATTATCATTATCACCATCATCAAGTTCACAATGATCTCAGCATGTTAAACATCGTCGCCATCATTACGATGTTATGATGCTCCTCCTCCTCCTCCTCCTGCCATCATCACCATCTTCACCGCCATTTCCATGCTCAAAACCAACTTCAGCTTCAAAGTCGTTGTTCTTCTTCAGCTTCTGCTGCTTATCCTGTGTTGTCACCGCCACTACCACCACAAAGACATGTCATTGAGGTTGTAATTTTGCCTGTTTGTGTCTCAGGCCGTACCGCCGCGTCCACCAACTGACCTGGACACATCTGAATCGGGCGCGCTGGCCCGAGAATGGCAGTTTGGCATGGCATCCGACCTGGGGCTTCCAGCTGCCCGGCACTGCCTGGACGGATAAAGGCATGTAGAGGCATGTGCGGTTGGGTGTGAGATTGCAGACAGCATCAATTCTGAGAGCAGTCCAACCGGCAGGCTCGTCACCACCTATCCTAGCCATGTTTGAGCTGGACGGGTCATGCAAGGAAGCCTCTTCTGCCGACTTCGCTGTCGGCCCCGAGGGAGGTGGCGGCACCTCTGACAGCCGCGGCACTCTTGCACTGGGAACCAGGTGAGCGGGAAGCATTGGAAGTTCAGCCTCAGCCTCGCAGCATCGCACTGTGTCGCAGGACCGCAGCGCCTGAAGAAGCGCTTGCAGGAGGCTTTGGGGCTCAGTGCACAAGAGCCTTGCGCAGCAACGAAGAATGACTCGGTGTCAAGAAGTCCACGGTTGCAAGTTGCGTTATTGACACTCCCAAGGATGCTTTGGCGCTGGTGCAGAGGCAGTGTCGACCAAGAAAGTTAATTTACTCAGAAAATTCGCAGGCTTTGTGGCACGGGGCTGTGCATTTACTCACCGCTAACAGAGTGCTTGCAGAACAATCACTGCTGGAATCTCGGTGCAGAAAAGGGGACATGAGGAGACCGTGCAGCAAAGCGATCTTGTGCTTGCGGGCATGGTCAAGCTCAGGCATTTCCCGATCTCCCTGCATATATCACTCTCTTCCATATTCTGTTGCTGAGATTGTGAGGTGTCCCAAGATGCCGAAACATTCCCTTACAAGTGTCCTTTGCAGCCCAAGCCGCAGGTCACGCGTCACTGTGGATGGTCAGATCCAGAGCAAAGATCGCTGGATCGAGGCCTCCGGAGTGTCGGGGATGGGTGGACGCTGGATGCTCGCGAACCTCTTGAACCGAAGATTCGTCCCGCACAGCCTGCAGCGTCTGCATAGGCTCTAGCTCTGGCGATTACATTTGCGAGCTTCCGCTAGGACAGACACGAGATCACTGTCAATGGCCATCCGTTGGCGGAGATCAGCGGAATCTCCTTTGTGGCGCACAAGCCTGCAGGCCTTGCGGGCAACCTGTGTGTGGAGCGATGCGCCATCACCTTGCGTCTGCTGCAGGATTTGCTCTGACCGAAGGAGATCCGCTGAAGCGGCCGACCTACGTGCAGCTCCTGCTGCCTGGATGGACTTAGCCATCTTTGTAGGAACATGCTATCGTGGGCAAGTGCCAGACCGTCAGAGTGCCGGGAAAGGCAGAAGCTGCCTTTCTCAACCTTGTGAGGCCAGACCCGTCGCTGATAGCTCGGCCTTTGCCGATGCCTGTGGATTTGTGGGCCTCGGGCCTGGTCGTGCCTCGGCGACAGACTTGGACTGCAGTTTACGTCGCTGTGTTGCCGTCAAGCGGCTAGCTGCTGCTAGCTGCTGGGGATTCGGAGGTCTTAACAAACCACGCTGGGTTGAGATCTGCGCTGACCTGCGAAGGCGGGCTCAATCGTGGTGCCCTTGAGTTCCTGCCCCGTACGGTAGATCTGTCCGATTGGCCTGACCAGGTGCAGAGTCACCCCAGTCCACGTTCATGGTGAGGCCCAACCGGGGGTGAACGCTGGTGAGAGTGCAGACGCGAGTGCCGGCGGACCACCCAAGGATTTAGAAGAGCTCCCCTGGTACCGCTATGCTATGCTTCCAATTTAGTTCTTCGGGCGGGACTCAATTGACTGTTATGTACTGCCAACAGCAATACCGCCTTCCGCACGGTGCTGACAGGCTTCTTTTGCCGACGAGAAAGGGTGGTAACGGTGCTAACGTCTGCCGCTTAAGTTCCCCTACGGTCTATGTACAAATATAATCTTATGATCAGAATCTTATGTGCCTTGACGCATGAGCCAATTACGGTCGCTTCGTGCGCTGTCACCCCTGCAGAGGGCAAGCCATTCTGTCCTCGAGCTGCAGAAGTTCTTTTGTGCGGGTCGAACCTTCTAGGAGTCATGTGCTGAGGGGGCGCCTTGGAAAGCTGGAAATTTAACCCTTGCGATGACATAGTGACATAGTGTTGGAAGCATGGTTGCAGACTGCTGCATCTTTTGCGAACTTACCGGAGGCTGCGCAGGCCTCTGTCGGAGCACCAGATTGATATTCTGGAGACGAAGGCGCCCTACGAAGGTTTCGCTGAGCCGCTGCTGTTGGAGGACCTTGGCCGACAGCTTCTGAAGCAACCGAACTAGCGTGTATAGCGTGTAAAGGCCTGTAGTTACGCTCAGAGATGATTACGATTGTTGCATGTCATCCAGTTATAGCAGCATGCCGGGACTCATCCAATACTTGACTGGGCAGGACCTGACGTATGCGCAGCGTGATGAAGTCGCTGTTGTCGAGGCTGGGCATCATGGCGCCCGCTTTTTACTTCACGGAGCGATTTGCCTATAGGAGCCACCGCCGCCGGACGTCGGGACCCTCCTGGGCTCCTCGGTAGCGACGTGGGGCTCCAAGCCGCGGAGGCCCGCGGTTTAAAAATGCTGCCCGGTTGACCTTTGAACAGCCGGTTGCGCTTGCTCAAAAAGCCTGGCAGAGTTTAGTTGTTGCCTGCTGCTGTTGAGTTGGCTGACAAGCGGTCCCCATGCTGATCCCCATGCCGGACTTTCTAAAGCTGTTTATGTGCATGGACAATGGAGGTCCAGATACGTCCCGCATGAGGAGTTGCCGCTGCATGGCTGGCGAAAGTTGTCCGTTTTACGGGAAGGGGTTTAGGTCTAGGTCTAGGTCTGCACAGACTAACCCCGGGAGCATTGTGGTGTAAGCTGTAAATGCGTGAGGGGACAAGTTCGTCGAACGACGCATTTGCCGCAGCTACTGCAGGCTTTGCATCGCCCGACGATTTTGAACTCTTCTTAGCATTTCCTATCGATGCCATGTCGTCGTACACCGCCTTCGAGATCGCAGCGGCCGTCGCCGTCCTGGAGGACGCGATCGACGCAGGCATCGACGTGGCCATCCACCTCGGCTATTGGACGCGCCTCCAGCGTCGGACGCTGGCGATGGCGATGGGAAGTGCAAAGGCGTCGTGGGCAGACGCTAAAAGCCAAGGCGGCCGGCGAGCGCCCGCCAGAGCCCCAGTCGTCAAGGCGCCACCGGCGATTGATCCGGACAATGGCCTAATATGTCGCCGGCTGGCTGCCTCGACGACATCGACCAGCCAGCTCCTGAGCCACCACCCGCTGACGGTGATCGAGGGCCGTGGCATGGTTGGGGCGGGCGTGGGCAACCCGCCGGCCATTTGGCACCAGACTCAGAACGGATTGACCTCGAAACCGATGCTGTCGAAGCCGGCGTAGTGACTATGCCACGTCGACCGCGTTCTATGTCGTGGTGACATCCCGGCGGCGCCGAAGGTTGCGAGCTTCCCGCCCCACCGAAGAGACAGCAGGCGCCTTCGTCGTCCTCCCCACAGCTGCTGTGCCGGAGTGCCTCGACGGAGAAGTCTGGGTCGTTGGCTGGTGTGGCCCTCCGGCGACAGCTGCATCAGCCCTGTCAGCCGCTGCTTTCTTCGGCCGGTCGTCGTTCCACCTGGCGGCACGCGGCCACCACGACTGTGTGGAGTGCCACCATACCGGTGCCCGGGGTCGCTATTTACTAGCCGGCTGAGCCGGCCATCTTCGTCGGCGAGGGCTTCTTCTACAAGTTCGCTGGTTCGGCGACTTGTCGCCGCCTTCGTCGTCGACGCCTGCATAGTTTGTTTATGCATTTTTCGGCGGCTGCTCTCGAGCCTCTCCGCCCCACACATGCAAACAACACGCGTCGGGCTGTGTGTGCCGGTGTGTTTCACCAGCACTTTGCACCAGGACTGTGGATGGAAAAGACCGGCGTGACTGTAGGCAGTCATGTTGTTCGTCATCGTCGCTCCTTCCTTCTTGTTGTTTTCCTGTTGTTTATTTCCTAGAGGCAGGCGCAGGTGGCTCGAGGAGACCGGTTTCCCGGCCCCTGGCAGACGATACCGGCGATCAACCTACATGGCCGCGACGGCTTCACCCGTTTGGCCATAGTGTTGGCCATCATGGCCTTCGTGGAGCTCGGTGCGAAGGAGCACCTGCCGACCCTGCCGACCCACCATCAAGGCTCAAGGAGCACATTATCCAGCGGGTCTTCGTGTCGATCTGTCGGGACGGGGTGGTGCTGCAGCCCGCTCCTGCGAGGATAGTGTGCGAGGATCAAGAAGATCCAGGCCACCATGGACGATGCGCTGGCGAGGGACGACATGTCGCCCCACATGGCCAACAGACTGATGGGGCGGCTGAACTTCGTCACGCAGTCCACCTTCGCCGTCGGGAAGGCGGCGCTGCAGCCCATCTGCGCCAGAGCACACGACGCGACGGCGACATCAGACACCAGGTTGTCGCTGGCACACAGCAGGATTTCCAACACGTAGATGAAGGCCATCCTCGCTGTGTTGAAGAGGTTGAGGAAGTCCGCCGGGGCCGTGCCGCAGTCGTACCAGACCTGCGCACCGATCCTGACGACGTACGTAATTTTGGCCTTTGGTTCCGGGTTTGACGGACACCTCCGCCGGGAAGTGGCCGGCCTTTTGTCGAACTTCTCCCGGCTGGTAGAACGCGTCGGCATAGATGAGAGCTGCTTGGGCTGGATGTTCGCCAGCAGCGACCTGAGCGTGCAGGTGCTGGCATTGGTTCACAGGTGGGCTCCCGCAGCGGTGGCTGGCATTCAGGGACAACGTCGCTGGCCGGTGGGCCCTGACTAAGGGCTACGGGAAAGGTCCAGCGGTCAACAGTGTCTCGGCGGCTCCACCGCGGCGCTTGCTGACTGGCTGCCTGACTTCCGTTGGGTGCCGTCCAAGGCCAACGTCTCCGACGCTGTTTCCAAATTAGGGTGACCTGGAGCTGGCGCGGTGCATGGGTTGGACCAGGGTCAAAAAGCCGGTGCGGGGCATCCTGCAAACACTGGCGAGGGCGGTCCAAGACTTCCAAGACGTCGAAGACGTGAACGCCGCTGCAGACGAGCTTGTGAACTTGGCGTGAGGCTGCCGGGCTGCCGGCGCAGAGTGGAGTTGGGGAGCGCCAGGCGGAATGCAGAAAGCGTCCCGGGCGCCGTACGGCGCGATGCGCTTCCATACCACTCCAAAAAGAGGGTCTGTCCGTCGTATCCTCATCGGGTGTCGAACAAGTTCGTCGAACGATGCATGTGCCGCAGCTACTGCAGGCTTTTAAGCTCCCACCCTCTCCACCCAGTTTTGCGTATTCATTCAGAGATTGGTGTGGGTCGTCGCTCGCTGACGGGCGGGCCGGGATGCAGAAAGCGTCCCGGGTGCCGTGCAACCTAGCTAGTTCTGGCGAAGGCGACGGACCCGGCGCGATGCGCTTTCATACCACTCTAAAAAGAAGGTCTGTCCGTCGTACTATTTTGGTATGCTCGTCGGGTGTCGAACTTGTCAACGGATAGCCGGCTGCTGCCGATTTTGATGCATCTGTAAACATGTCCACTTTGACCTTGCCGATTCGTCACCAGCTCACGTCTTAGCTTGTCTCTCCACGCAGTCCGTCCAAAGTCTGTCATCGGCCGTTTTTCGGTCCGATTAATCGTCTAGATGTCTTTCAGCCTTCGCGAAACCCGAGGATCGTGGCTGTGTCGCTGCGCGGCGGCGATTCGGCGACATTACGGCGGGCTCTCCTGGCCGTCGCTTCGACTAAATTGCCTTTCTTCATAATCCAAGTTTTTTGCTCAGACTTGACGAACGACAAGTTACCGACCGAAGATGGGGCCAACTTGGACCGAGGTGGGCGCGGCTCCAGTCGAGATCTGCTGCGTCAGTTGGGGGCCGCTGGCCCTCGAGGGCTCGGATCTGCCTTGCAGCCTGCACTTGAGTTTCAGGAACAAGGGCTCTCAAACTCACTTCATGTCGGGGGAGGAGTCTTCGGTGGGTAGGCAGGGAGACACGGGTACATTGAAGCCGCATGATATGCTAGGCAGCGAGATCCTTGCTGAAGTCTGCTCCCAAAAAGCGTTCCGAGGATCGATCCCGGAGGTGTCCGGCCCCTGAGCCAGGATGGTGAAAGGGTTTGGGGAAGATTATTCTAGCGCGAAGCCCTGCAACGGCTTGAGCCCTAAGCCGATTGTTCCTACCCTCGGGATGGGGTGCTTAGATGTTAAGGCTCTTCTCCTCGCCCTCGCCTCCCCCCTCCTCCTGGAGTAGCCCGCAGAGAAGCCTGAAGATGCCTGAAGTGCCGTTGTCCCGCGGGGGATTCTTACCAATGCGTTCCGTTTAGAGCGGGGTTCAAAATAACCGGTTCTTGTCTTTTGAGATGGTGTAAGACTAGGCTTAGTGTGTGAGATGCTGAGTGTCTAGCTGCCTGATTTTGTTGTTGTCATCTAAAATGAAAAACTTTTCAATAATCCTCTTAGGGAGCTGGCCTCAACGACCCGAATCTAATCTTCAAACATGTTCAGACATGCATTAACAAGCCCAGTGCCGGAATCCGAAAGTTCAATCCGGAGTCCTACAACCATGAAGCTGACAAACTTGTGCCGTGCCGCTTCCGAGAGCTCTACATGCGGCAGTGACTTGTCATACGAGTATAGTGGATCCGAGTTTCATGTTAAGCGGTAAGCTCGTGCTTTCAACAAAAAAGAGAACCACTGGCCACCTCGACTGGTGTGATCTTGCACCTGTCTCTCCCAAGTGGGCCGGGTTAGTTTAAATCCCAAGACCTGCACGCCTAACCTTGACCCAGTCAATATTACCGATAAGTTCGTGTTGAACGTTGCAGGAGGAAGTGCAGGCCCTGATCGCGCATGCGACCAGCCCTTTGCCAAAGAAAACTGTGCGGTCTGCAGGGGAGTCGTGATCTTGGAGCCAGACAGATTTTGCCGGCGCATCTGCCTATAACATCCTATAACTGCCACCATCGCTCCGCTGGCCAGGGTATTATCGTCCTTGTCGCACGGCATGTTCAGGCTGCGCTGCGCCACGCCTCGGCATGTTGCTGTGTTAGCTTGCTCCTGTATTTACGGCCTTTCGGACGATTTCGGGAGTGAGAGATCTAGGGCTCTGGAGAGGGTCCGTGGTGGCCCTCTCTCGGATGCCTGGTTTCCAGGAGCCTCAGCTCGGCGGTGCGCGCCGACACCGGTGTGAAGGACGGAGATCAGCCCGTGTGCATCCTCGGCGACATCATTAAGACACTGCCATGGCGCTTCACATGCCTCCGCAGGAAGGACGGTACTTCTTCGAAGTCCAGGCGCTTCAGACACGGTCAACCAGCTGCATGTCTACCTGTGGCATGTTTGGAGCTGTTGTAGCCACTTGATCAAGCCATAAGTCCATGGGCACAGCAGACCCAGCAGGCAACTGTGGAATTCAAACCGTTGAAGTGCCAATGCTATGCAAACCGCCAGTGCCCTGAAGAATGTCGGGCTGCATGGTTGTGTTGTCTGGACTCCGTCGTGCGAATTGAGCTTCACCTTGCGCCCCCTTCTAACCCTCGACAAGCCAGAGCTTCCCAGTGACTACCCAGCTGCACAAAACCGCCACAAACTTCCTCTGACGTTTCGGACGTGGCTTGGGGGACTCGGGATGAGCGATGTGTCCGCCCACGAGCTCGCTGCAGACCTGGCCAGCGAGGCTTTCGGGCTGCAGTTGGCCCTGCTCGCCGCACCCCCGCAAAGTGTGGACCTGTGCCGAAGGCTAGGCGGCTTGCAGCAGCTATGCTACGACTGCCAGCAGCTCTGACATGGGGCAGAGGGGAAGTGTGGCTGGTCCGCGGACACTTCGCAGCTACACCCTCTAACAGAAGGACTACCAATCACGAATCATACACAAGAAGTGGCAGCAGTGGGTGCATCTTGAGGCGGGAGCGCGTTGTGGCCGTCTCAAAGTCGGGTGCTGAGTTTCTTGCCATTTGTCTTCATCTCTTGGCCCAGTGCTGGCGCCGACAGCTCGAGGCCTGCGTCACCCGGCACGGAGGCTGCAGCCGTTGCGAAGGGTTCCCAGACCATAGCTCGTCCAGAATCTAGAAGTCACTGCAGAGTTCCTGGCAGCTTCCGTTTTGTCAGGCCGGTTTGCGGGTTCTCAGAGACAGCTTGGCACTGCGCGAGAACATGGCGCAGCTCCTCTCGGAGGAGGGTGTGTGTGTGTGTGTGTGTCTGTCTCTGTCTGTGTGTGTGTGTGAGTGTGTGCGCGTGTGCATAGGTCTGAGTATTGATGCAGTTGCAGGGTCTGATGATGCTGCATGGCGGCATAGCAGTAGACCAGTGCGATGTATACACAGTTTGTCTGCAACGAGTGTGGATTTCGCGATCTGCAACTGCTTGTGAGAACCTGCAGGCCATTCAGCTGACAGAGCTGTTCGACGATGGTGCGCTGGTTGGGCCGGCTTGTGACATGAGGCTTCTTTAAAGAATTTGAGGCAGGTGTCTGCCAGGGGATGATTGGAAGGGTCAGAATGAATGCAGATAGTCGACTGTCGACCGGGTCATGCGTGGAATCGGAAGGAAGAAGCTGGAATCGAAAGGGCAACAAAAAAGGCCGGTGGTGCTGGTGGTGGCAGAAGGAGCAGGAGCCTGGTGGTGGCTGTAGCAGTAACAGTGGCAGTCGTCGGCGTTCTCGTCGTCCACCCCGACAGAACTACAGAGTCAACGGCAATGCGCTTGAAAGTTGAAGCAGCGGCATTGGGAATCATCATCAGCAGCAGCAACTAAGTCATCAGAAGCGTAGCGTAGTCATCGTCTTGAAAGTGGCCCATTTGTCGTCGTCGTCTTGGCAGTGTTTTCGTGGTCGTGGTGGTGATGGTGGTGATTTAGATGTGGCAGACCTTATCGTCGTCGTAACCGTCGTGTTTGTACAGTAGCTGACGTAGCCGTGGCCGTCCTCCCGGCAGTCATCGTTGTTGCAGTAGTCGTAATCGTCGGCTCCCCTTCTCCCATTCTTATTCGTACACGAAGAGCCGACCATTGCAAGAACAGTAGTGACTCAGTAGTGTGACAGCCATGGGTGTTGACCGCACTGCACACTTTCGCTTTTTCCCTTCCATGAGCACAGGAATGGTTCTTCCAGAGATTTGCAGGAAATGCTTCCGTGAGCTCAACGGGTGTGCGATGCCAGGTCGGACCCGCAAATCCGGCCAAAACGTCAGAGGTGACCAGAAGTTTCAATCGGGTTCCCGTGAACATGCAGGAGAAGATATCATGGTGTGTGCCGTGTTAAGATGCTTGTTGAGCATTGCGAGCCCAGGGCGAATGTTACACGGTTTGGGACTGTGGGAATGCTTCCTGAGCAGGTTGGAATTGGGCCCGTGCGAGCCGCCCCATCGGGCCCAGCCGATGCTTTTCAGGCAAGCTAGAAGATGCTTGCAGGAGGAGTGGCTGAGTAGAGCCCATGCAGAAGAGCTGTGACTTTGGAGGCCGCCGACTGATGCTGCGCCTGTCAGTGAGAGAGATGCGGTTTCGCCCAGTCAGGCTTTCGGCCCAAAGACACTGCCAATTGGCCTTGCCTGAAAAAGTGAGCTCCGCGAAGAGCCGTATGTACACCGGCAGCAGACAGATCCCCAGCGTGTAAAAGGTGCTGGAGGCGGCAGACAACGCGCTGCTTCAGGTGGGCTTCTCCACCGACAGGTGCCAGCAGAGTCAAGAGTGGCTTGCTAGAGTGCGGACATTGCCGAAGTATACCAGTGAACAGCAGCCTTCATGCATTTCCTCTAAACCGTCTAGAATCACACAGAAACGGCTTCCTGGCTGGCACTTAGTGCTGAATCACACTCTGCTTTGCCCGCATCTCCCGGAGGTCTCCGCTCTTGGGGCAGTTTCGGAACCGAGTGGCCTTCGATGCTAACGTCACTGCCGCAGCAATATTCCAAGACAGGTCTGTAGGTCGTCGGTGCTTGCCTCTGATACCATGTCACAATCCTAAAAGCTTCTGGCAGTGAGAGCCCTCGAAGACTGAAGGCCTGAAGCCTGGAACAAGGAATCCAAATGCTCCTGAGGGCAGCTTCATCACCTCCGAGCCGGGTGCTTCTACAGAGCTGCCGGAGGCCAGGAAGCCCAAAGAGGGATGAGGATGCTGATGGTGATGATGATGGTGGTGATGACGGTGGT